ATTTTCACTGACCATTCTTTACAATCAGCTACGAACCCAGTTCTGGGTTGGAATACATTTGGAAGGTACAAAACTCCAGTCTCAGTTCTAGTATCACTTATCAGTAGTACATATCCGCAGGCTCAGTTGGGCTTAGAATAAAAGATAGATAGATAAATAGACTGTGTTGGTCCATTGTTAATCTGATTTCACTGGGGCTGACCCCGGTGAGTGACTTAGATTTGCTCCGATTAACAATTTACCCGATCGGTTCTCGGATCAAGGGCAGGTGATGTATAAAGCCGAATAAGTTCAGTCAGAAGCCATCCATCTTCTTTTTCATCCGGTTTAAGCACAAACATCTCTACTGAAACTGAGTTGAAAATATTTTTGTTCCGTTTTCGAAACGTCCGAATAGTTTCATTTACATCGAAGTTCAGTGTGATCACTGATTAACCAAATTCATTTTCGGAAAACTTTTTCCACTTTCAGATTCAAAATCTCTGCTGTCCCACTGCAACGGGTAATCTTGGCAACATCCTCTTATTACAAGGAACTGATTTGTCAGGAACCTGATCTGTGGTTTCGTCAAAAATTCCAATTTACTCGTCGAGTAATTTTTTTAATTTTCCCCCTCTTTCAATCCATTTATTCCACACCCATCGTCATTTGTCCTCCAGACCTCTGGCTTTGCATTCTCATTCCGTTCTAAACAAAAAAAACGATATGGAGCGTTGCTAGACAACCTCCACAGTGTGCGGTTAGTTTTGCGAATCAAACCAGCAAACTCATTCTTTCTAGAGTCTTCCTGAAATGTGTGATCGTCTTTGGTTTTTCTTGAGATTTTCATACTTGTCGTGTTTTGAAGTATTCATCCTAAAATCCATCCAATCCTTGCGAAAACGCGCACCCATCTCTAATTTCTTCAATTCCTATCCTCTCCTTTTCGATTTGCGTGAAAAAGAACGCATGATCAAACTGCATACGACCGAATCGTCCGTGACAGCATCAGTTGAACAAAGCGTATACCATTGGTATAGGACATGCTTTTCGATTACCTTTCAGACTCATCTCATTTTGCAGTGAGGAGACTGTCAGCGTTTGCTCATTTCATTTCATGTTCTGTTATTTTCTGAATTAGTTAATTGTTTTCGTGCAGTGCTTTTGAAATGCTCATTTTGATTCCCTGAATAGAAGAAAAAACATCAATAACAACAACACAATTCTGGTGTTCCATATTATTTTATTCACAAATTGTGGGAAGTTTAAGTCGAGAGCCTTTAGTGCCCTGTCTGAGCAATGCCAAAACCAAGTGCAGATGTTTCATCATTGTAGCCGGAATCTTGGGCAGTTAATAGTCATCGAGGTTGCGATTCTGAACTTACAGTGTTGTTGGCCACACACACACCTTGTCAACAGGCCTCTCAGAGCGACTGCGGCCGTTGTTTTCACATCAACACAAATCCGTCTGTTCCACGGTGAGTTTAGTCGTCTGCACACAAATGCCGATGAAGCCAATGTATTGCAATAATGGGTAAGCTATAGGCGTCGCAGTGCTAAAGCTTACAGTTGATTTTGACTGACCATTTGTCAGACTTTGTCTTTACTCACTATCCTCAATTTATTCACTCAAACATGAACTCGGAACTCACAATAATAAGGGATTATCGCTGTCATTATAGCTCAGTAATGGTGCATACCCGCTGACCCCTAGGGAACTAGAACTTCCAATCCCAATCCATTGAAAAGTTGATTTGTATGTGTACTGTACCAAGCAGTTCACACGTGGGTGAACAATAGCCACGGATTAAGGTTTCAAGTGAGTAATGGAGGATTTGGTTCAATTTCAAAGGTGAATATTTCCAATCGAGTCATAACCCTGGAGGCTAGTGCTGAGATGAGCAGGGTCTGTGGGCAGTAACA